TTGATTGGTTTATCAAATATTGCTTACTGTATAACCATAAACTTGGCAACTATCTCTTCATACTCCGATTCATCGAAATCCTAATAAACTTCTTGATCTGTCAGAGCTCTGAATTCTGATGGCAATAGAAAAGCCATTTGAATATTAGGCGATGGTTGCTTTCTATCGGCTTTTTGCTTAGTACGCCATACTTGAGGTTTACCGGATGCCTGAGCCTGTTCCAATTCTCTGTTCCTTAGGCGTTGCACCCTTCTCTTCTGGCTTCTTGTCAAACCTCTTGGACACCATTGGCCTTCCTGCCAAACATATTTTCCTTCATCACTTCCTTCTTTGTAATCAGCCCAGTTTTGATCAACAACCCTTTTTCCAAGCCGATTATGAACACTTCCATTTTTAAGCGCCGATCCATGTTATTGTGACGATATGCATCTTGAGCATGGATAGACCGGTGGTTGGCTTGAGATTGCCTAAACTCCCAATACTGATCGCTGCACTCTGGACAGCTATTCTTGGTAGGCAACTTCAAACCTTCATTCCAGCAATGTCTGAAGAAATGGCAATTCCAATGCAATTCAGCTTGCTTTCTTTCATACCTTTCTTTCTCCTATTGACGTTGGTATTCTTGCTTTTCTAACCAACGCTGATAATCCTTTTCTTTCTACCACTGCCATTTATTCAACAGAATTCAATACGTAACTCGTGGCTTTGTCACCCCTTCTTTTGACATTTCTCCCTGCTCATATCGGCTCTTTTGCTTATCGCGATGACTTTTAATTTCCCTATATTCGTCGGCCAATATTTGCCTCTCGGGGTCAACTATTCCAGCTTCCCTTGATTTGGTTGATGTTAGGACCTTAGTCTTTCCTTTGAGCAGCCTAGCATCAACCATGTTTTGATCTCCTAGGAAAGGATTATCATCAACTTTCATTTTCTGAGGCGTATCAAATTTAAGTCTTCCTTGCTGAATAGCCCTCTGTATATGCTACCGAAAATTTTTGCATTCATTAGTGGAATGAGAAGTAGCGTTATGGAACATGTAGAACTTCTTATTCTTCAACTGATCAGGGGGCAACATAACATGATTATCGAGCAACTTGATCTGTCCCTTCTCAAGCAAGAAATCGAAGAGCTTGTCTAATTTTGTGACGTCAAAGTCGTAGCTCTCCTCGACTCCTCTTCCCCAAGGATTTGACACCATTACTGTCTTTTTGCCCCAATTCCATTCAGCCACAGCAACCTCTTCTTCTTTCATCTTCATAGCCGTCATCGACTGAATATGGATTATAAGCTTCAGCCACTGTGGCACTCTTCTGGAATCGGGTATCTCTGCTCATACTCTAGAATTGGCTATTAAGCGCTGTCACTCATTGAGCCAATTGACCCAAATTGTCAAATTCTTGTCCCAGCAGCTTTTCTTTCCACATTGGTAGCATTCCCTGAACGGCCAAAGCAGCTAGCTGATCATCAGCCAAGTTTAATGAGAAACACAAATTTCTAGTCTCTCGGAACCTCTAAAGAAACTCAATGCCCGATTCATTAGTTTTCTATCTTATAGTTGTCAAATCGGTAATCTTCTTTTCTCCAGTCCCATCTGTGGGTTGAAATCCCGTGTACCTTGATACCCTAGATTCAGAATCATGTGAAGGGTGTTATAATCTGTGCCATAATGATACCCTTGTGGAATCTCTATCTGCTGGGTCCTTTGCTGGTTTGCTGCTTGAAGTCTCTGATTATAGACATGATGATTTATATCTCTACGGATCCTTTGAACTGATGATGCTATTTTTGAGCTAACGACGGTATCTGGCCCGATGTGCCAAAATTAATCATCTGCTTCTGACCTTGCTCCACCGGCTGTTGCACATGCTACACTAACGATCCAGGATTATACTGTGTCTGATTCATAGTTGTACCTTGAGCTTGTTCAAATGAATCCTGAACTGCCTGGCCATCATCATTACCAACTGGTGCTGCTTCTTGATGGCTAGTACCGACTTGATTAGTCTCTTGGGTCAACGGATGTGGAATATTGTAATAAGCCAGCCCAACTTGACCAACTGGAAACCTATGAATCGCCTCTTTCATGGCGTTGTGGAATGTGTCCAAGAAATCTTTATTATGGCTTGATATGGCATCACGAACAGATTTGTTTACAATTTCTGTAAAGAAACGCTCTGTCTTCAGCTTCAACTGTATCTGTCTACCCATGTAATAGAACTCTTGGTAGTGGATATTTCTGAACAATTGTGTTGTCACGTGTTTTGGTGTAGGACAACAAACACTTATTCTGAAATTCTTCTATAGCTTTGCCGATGACATCTTTATCTCCATCAGGTAGATCTTCATAATGTACCATAAGGATGTCGTTGTTGTTGTGAACCGCCAAGACGATTGTGGTGTCCCACCGAGCGTGCCAAGAATGTGTGTCGGCATGAAATTTCATCCCATGCTGAGGGCACACGAGCAAGCCGGAAGGGTCCACTCGATGGAGCTGGAGATCCGCCTAGCTTTAGCACAGGGATGGTCGGTCCTACGCACTCCTCCCAAGACGTGCCAGTCAATTTGACCCTACAATTGACAAGGAGAGAAAGCTAATCAGTAATTTAAGGCGGAACATGCCATTGTTGTCAGACAGTCCCGAATGTGCGGCTCTAAGAGCCAATATGGAAGGAAATTGACTAAATAGTCGATTCCAGCATATTCATAAGAATAAATCAATTAAAGCTCATGGAATTATGGAAGATAAATTGGTTGTTACTCAGGATAGATCTCGTTATTTAGACAAACATTAGTCAATTGCAAAAAGATGTCAACAATAATTAATTTACGCTAAGCCAATGACTGCAAGTAACCGAATCCCTTTTTATACAAAAAAACAGTTGATCATCATTTAACCATTTAATAAAGATAAATCTAATGAACATATTAGATCTCTTCTATCGCTATGACCAGTGGGGCATGAGGCAGAATCATGCAGGCCGTAGAAACAACAATAGATTTGACAACCCTAACTTATTACTAATATCAGTGGGGACATGAGGCAGAATCATGCAGGCCATAATACAATAATAAGATCATAGGGCTAACACATCTTTCAACCTATCTTTACTTCAACGGTCTCGTGACGTGAACTGTTCATGAAAGCACTTGATATTGACTAAAATAGCCAATTCAGGCATAGCGCACAGTTAAGGTTATGCCCTATCAGGAACAAATCTACCAAGTAATGATCTCCACTCCACGGTGCTAATAGTGGGGTGTGAGGCAGAATCACACAGGCCGTGATAACGGGCTATGAAATGGTTTTCGTTAGCCAACAGATCTATTCAAGACAAAACATGCCTTAAACGCACACTATGCGCGATCAAGATTGACATAAAACGGCCGATAAAACATAACTCATCGTTTAAGATGCAGATTAGATCAGTTTAGATTAACAAACGATGGGTTAAACAGGATATAAGGCTGAATCAATCCCAATCGGGTGAAGTGATATTGCTGTAATTAAATAAATAATGGAAGCAATAAGCAATATCGGTAACTTAATGAATCTATCCGAAGGAACACCACCCTTAGATAGAACCTATAACTTGACCTTAATCTAGTTCGAGCAGTGGAGGTCAACCGGATCGATGTAGCCTTACTTGAACTAGACAAGAGTCGATAACTAGCTTATACCAGAGTCGCAGTGGAGGTCGACCGGATTGATGCAGCCGTACGAATAGAATTATAAGCCATGACGGTACTTACAGACAAGCAGTGGAGGTTGATCAGATTGATGCAGCCGTACTTGCTGAAGAACTCGCCGATATCTACTCTACTCCTACTCCTAAGGGGTGGCCGGAGCCGAAAAAGTAAGTAAATTGTATTTGATTGAGTGTGTCCTTTACAATAGCCGAGGTCCAATATTTATAACCGGAACCTACGCATGATTCCTACCAAGCATGACTCATCACAATTTTTGGCCCTAGAGAAAACATTCTGAATTGAAGATAACTTGGACTCTAATCTTTCCCTTTTTGTAGAGTCCAACATGTTTTGTCCCAGTGCCGATCGTAGCCTTTGTCGTTATCTGCTGGCGCTATCTGAAGAAAACCGATTCCTGTGTTGTATTCGAATCAGCTGATACCGATCTGCACGCAATTGATTCCTTGATGACACAATCTTGGGAGCTTTCGAGTCCCTACGATTCTTCTTCCAAATTTTGATCTAAACAATGGCTTCACATCCCCATCAACCATGCGAAGTACTTTGACCAATGGCTCAAATACTCTCAAACAAAGAGCAACACCAGCCCAAAAATTAGGTTTCACTAAAGTGGTTGTGGCCTGCACACCTTTTGGGGTCTTCTTGACATGACTGATTCTCTCCCATTCCTCACTTTGAGACATTGCGCTTAGCTCATTCTTCTTCTCATACAAGCTTTGTAAGGTGAGAAAAGAGGAAGCAAATCTGGTCACACCAGGCCTAATGATGTCTCTCTTTTTCGTGAATTTCCTCATCAAAGCCAATGTTTTATGGTTTGCATAGATAAAGATGGTCAGTGCCTTTGCTTGATCAATGATGGTCTTGAATCTTTTCAATTTCCCAATGCCTTCAAGCATAAAATTGAGAGTATGTGTTCGACATGAGCTCCAAAATATATTGGGCCTCTTCACAGACTACAGGGCTTTCGCTGCCATGTTGTCGGAGGCATTATCTGTGACTACTTGCACCACCTTTTCAGCACCTATTTTCTCAATACAACTGTCCACATACTGAAAGATGAATTCTCCAGTATGGGACTCAGCTGAGGCCTCCTTTGATTCCAAAAAAGTTGTACCAATGCTGCAATTGACACACATATTCATTATGCTTCTCCTCTTCTGAACTGTCCATGCATCAGTCATAATGGAGCACCCATTTTTGGCCCATTCTTGCTCTTGTAGCTTCAGCAATTTCTTTGTGTCCTCCACTTCCTCATACAATAATTTCTCCCGTAGCTCATGCTGATTTGGTTTCTATCCACCAGGGCCAAAGCGTCCAGCAGCATCTAGCAATTGGTCAAACTCTTCATTGTTGATGGCATGGAAAGGTATTCCTAAAATTTACAAGAATTCAAGGTTAGACATTAGAAACAAATAATTCAGCATGGTTAGGACTCCAGAAATTTACAACATTTATTTCAGTAATGGATCAATGGACTAGTTTATTACCGTGCACATACACCCATCTTGCAATACATCTCTTCAAGGCATGCATTCTCTCTTTCCATAATGCTTCAGTGATTCTTTGTTGCCTCACCAGTTTTGTGTTGCTCAATGAGCTAGAATCCATAGGCAATGTAAACTTATCCATAGGCCCCAACTTGCACTGTGTCGAGTCTCCAACATCATCAAGCTCTTCTCCATTGATGGTGGTATCTTCAACATCTGGACCATCATCAAGGATCACAACATCCCTAACATCTTGCTTCTCCTCCTGCCTTGACTTCTTAGCTTGTTTCGAGTCATCAACAGCTTTCTTACACTTGTCTATGGCCTCAGGCGGTGCCTTGAGGCAAGGTCTAACCTCACCACGAATCCCACCGACATGTTGCTTCAACCTATATATCCCCACCCTCACAACAAGATCACAGAACTTGCACTTGATCACATTCAGGTTGTTAGGGTCCACCAGGACTCCATAGTCCCACCCAATGTCACTTGAGTTCCACTTGAGGCTACTGCTGGGGTTTATGGAAGGAACAAATGTAGCTGAAGACATCCTGAAAACAGCATAGCACAAATTATAAATTATTAGTACAGGTGTACAACACAGGGCACGAGAACATTCATGTAAAGTACAGAATAGAGCCATTGCCACAGAACAATAGGTGACAAGAAGCATCTAACTGCGTACTTGCTATATTCATATTTCAAACTTTCAGAATTAGGAACCTAAATGCCAGATCTAATAGCCTAAGTGCATGATAAATAATAACACGGCCACAGCTAACATAATTAAGTGATTTAATTTAACAAATGCATCTGGAACTGTAGCATACAAAGCAATTCTTGCAATCCCTTTCTCTATTCTTTAAACTTTTTTCTAAACAAAAATCTCTATTCTTTACAAGAGCACACAGTATTTATTTCTGGAGAACAAAACAACACCAGCCTACTAGTACGCACATGCTAGAGCACAGCATATATGAGTTGATTTCTAAAGAAAAGAATGGAACATTAGTACTAGTCTGCATCTACACACGCTGGAGCATATATGATATATCAATTGATTTTTGGAGAGGAGAATGGAGCTCTAGTACTAGTAGTCTAGTATGCACTGCGCAGTATGTACATGCTGGAGCATAAATCAAAGAGAGTACATGGAGCACTTAACTTGTTTGTGCCGGAGATGCAGATGAGCTCAACCTGGAGTAGACAGCAGAGGCAGAGAGGAGCTCGACTTGGATGGAGAATGGGGTGGAGGAAGACTTGGAATGCAGCAACAGGGGCAGCCACGGCGGCGATGGTGGCGGCCGCTGGAGTGGCGGCGGCGGCTGAAGGAGTGATAGGCATAGTAGCTGCGACGGACGGTGTGTGTGCAGCCGTGCAGGGGATTTGGAAAATTGCAGCGGCTGTGAAATGCTTTAGGGATAGAAAGGCCAAACCCTAACAGGTTGGCTTTTATAGTCATCACAATTGACTGGGCCGATGCACGCGAGACGAGGTCTAAAATTTTCGTTCTGCAGCCGAAATGTCTCCAATCGCCTAAACGCCCTCCTACTCGCTTCAGTCGCCGCGTAGAACCGTGGGTCGCCCGTGCAGTCCGTGTAGGACCGTTTTTGACCATTTACACGGACTGACCGTGTACCATATCATTTATGGCCTAAACTACACGCAAAGCTGCTGAGTAACGTGTACACGGCGAGTAATCAGCCTACACGGCCGTGTAGGCGAACATTGGTTTCAATAAATCATGAGATAAAGATGCAGACATGATATTAACACCCACAACAGGATTCTAAAGAGCATCAAAAGAAGCTTTATTAATTTAGCAATGAATGGATACAGAAGGTGAATCTAAATGAATCACATCAGAGGAAAGCTCTAATTCTTCTAACCATTCATTGCTTATAATAGACACTAGCTCTTTCAGTCTTTTTAAGGAAAGATTCCTCAGAAGGATCTAATGGTTCTTCATGCAATGATTTCCTAGACTTCTAGGGTCTCCTCATTGTATGGTAATTTGAGGTATTTCCATATTCATCAAAAAATCCATCCTCGAATTCAAGCATAAAATCTGAAATTAGAGTTTTCTCCTTTTCCGGCGGTTCAGAATTTGGGATAGCTGAAGTTGGTGATGGGTCTGGTAAAGATTCAGATTCAGCTATCTGGGATTCTTCCTCTAATGGTTTCTCTTCTACTTCTTCAGGGATATTCTCTAAGATTTTCGTAAGAATGCTTCTCCTCGCATTGGCGAAGACATGCAAGAATGAGCCTCCTGAGGCCATATTAAGAAGCTTCGAGGTTTACCTATCAAGACCCATATAGAAGTGTTGAAAAAGAATAGGGTCTTGAATGGCAAGGTCAGGGACAGTATTAATGAGAGTATTAAAGCATTCCCAAGCCATGCCTAGAGATTCTTTTTTCTTTTGTTTAAAAGATAGAACCTCTGAACGAAGTCTGACTACCCTAGAGATGGGAAAGAATTGTAAGCAAAAGCTAGAACACAGGGCTTTCCAATCTCCTTGTCTACTCCCTATGGTGAGATTGTACCAACGTTTAGCTTTTTACATCAAAGAGAAAGGAAAAAGCTTCTATCGTAAGGTTTTGTCTGACATGCCTGCTATGCGCAAGCATGCACAGGTCTGGTCAAACTCATTGATGAGTACAGGCCCGATCTTCCGAGAGGTAGCCGGTAAGTTCGATTTACTCTCGGCTATGGTGAGATTCAACCACCGCAACTGCTAACGTTGCACAACTTGATTGACTTGCCAAGAAGGCTTTTCCATCAAGAGCACAAGCAAAAGGTAAAACACGAGCAAATATGAATGAATTATCAATAGAGGGTTCTAGAACTCGGTTCCAAAGGACTAATCGACACGAGGAGGAGATCAAGAACGGGGCCCTGATCATCGTAAAAGGATTTGTCACCACGCTTACAATGAACGATTCAGTTTCTCGATGGAAAACTAAACTCTAAACAAAACCCAATTGTGCAGCAGCGGCGGCGGCTGTGTTTATAGTCTAAGACTCGACCTAGGGTTGGGGACGGCCAGGGGTTGGGTGCCCACAACTTGGGCTTAAGGCCCGACACGATACATGGCCAAGTTGGCCCAAATAGGTGACGCAGCACCTTGCCGTGGTCACACAGAATGATCCACGGACCTTCTGGAGCTGGGACCAGATCCAAAACGACGGCGTCGTCGTCCCCTTTCCAACGCATCCAAGAACGTCCCATTTCGATGTCGTATGAGAAAGTTATGACCGAAACAGTGACGACGTGTCTGCTGAATCCGAGGGCGACGTGGCAGCTGAGTTGGGAACGAATTGCAACTTGGGGAAGACCATGGCGTTGGTGTGTCCAGCGTGGCAATGTCCTCATCATCCTCCCCTTCTCGAATTGGAGTCGTCCTCGACTCCATCTTGGCGATGTCCTCATCACTCATTTAGGTGGGAATAGGGGTTTTCATCATCTTTGCCCAAAAAGGGTTGATCCTGAGCCATGTTAATTAAACACGGCGCAGCTCATAGCCAGGTGTTAGGATAGGCTTTGACAACTCTTTTGGCTGTAAGCATACTCTCGTGGGTGCACCATATTGGTAGATAGGGGTGGATTCTAGATCCATGGTAAAAAAGAAAGAAAAGATAAAAGAATAATGATACAATGATAAGCTAGGTTCGAAGTTAACTCAGCATCCGTTTTCCCAGCAACGATGTTAGAAATGCTTGTTGATATAAACTAATGCACATAGAATAATCCGCAAGCGCATGGATATTATACCGATGTAGCACTTTATTGGGAGTACCTAGTTTTATATCAAACTCAAGGAAACATGTGTGATAATAACAAAATCTAACTTAACCCAACTTCACAATCAAGGCTAGATAATAGGAGCGTAGAGGAGACTACTAAGGTCTTCTAGTTCTAACTTCGGTAAGCTTTGTCTTCTATTGTTCAATTCTGGGGGTATTACTAGAGAAAACACAGGCAAAGTATGTTTCCTATAGTAACAAGGTCCTGCTATGCCTACTAACGGGAGGTGGACCATAGAGGATTCAACAAGACTATAAGAGTCATCCTCACGAGCTACCACCAATCTAGAAAATAGGGTACATCCACGAGTAACCGAGTCTAAGCACCACGCTTACACTCTGAATACTACATTAACCCAGGAGCTACAAGGATTAAAGTACTCAAAAGAGAGTCGCAAACTTGAAGAACAATATGAATAAGATGCTTACTTGAATTAGAAGTCGATTACCAGAGAAATCTCAGAAGCAAGCTCAAGAAGAACTTGATTCCGTTAGGGTACAAGCCGTAGAGAGCACCGACAGGCCAGGACTCCTCCAAAACTCTTCCCTCTCACTCTATCTCACTATCTCTATTATAAGACTAGATCCTATCGAGGACTAATCTTCTCTTGATTGCTAGCCCTGATCCTGGTGGACATATGAATTAGGGTTTCTGGCTTCTCAGCTCTCAGGATCAAATGTCAATGCCCTGTAGGGGGTTTTGTAGGCTGGTATATATAGGCCGGAGCATTTATCCTGAGCCCTCGGATCAAACTGACTCGAATAAACGGTATAGATGCATCCTAGGAGGCGGTGGAGAACCGACATAGCAATAGGGATGACAGGAGCCCCACATGTCAGTGACATGTGTCCCGCTTCGGTGGAGAGCCTCCTGGAGTCTTCTAAAGTCTTCCCACATCGATTACGTGGTGGAATTCAGTGATTTCCTTTCATGAATAGGTCCTCCTTGGTGGTTTTCTGATTAAATCCTATTGAAAACATAGCTTTACCACAACTCATGGAATTTGTCAGTTTAAACCCCTAAGTCTACATTGCCGATCCATTTTAGCCATTTATACAAGTTATATTGATGGTCTATGATGAGTGATTACTACCGTCAACACCTGCGCTAAGCGCACCTATGACACCGACTACACCAAGCTCATGGACGGTCTATGTCCTATTCACAAGGATGCCAAGCATACCATGGGAGAGTGTAGAGGCCAAAACAAGGCATTTTGTGGCGACACATCAAAGAGGACACAGCGCAACGACGACAAAACCAAGGAAGGCCAAGGCAAAGATCGACAGAGGAACATGGGACCTCCCTATCAAGACCCCACCGAGACCATTGCTTTCATCTTTGATGGTCGAGCTGCCTCTGAAAGATAAATAAGAGCAGAAGCTTGTCACCCGACGCATCATGTCGGTCGCTACCTATGACGAACCCATCACCGACCCCAAGTACCTCGACTGGTCGGAGCACCTGATCACCTTCTCCCGGGCGGACCAGTGGACAGATATCCCATACCTAGGGTGTTTTCTTGCTTATCTTGTACCCCATCATCAAGGACGTGCGCTTCCAGAAGGTCCTCATCAACGGAGGGAGCACCCTCAACATCCTTTTTGCCATATCCCTAGAGGAGCTAGGGCTCAAGAAGGAAGATCTCATCCCCATGGACTCTTCGTTTTGGGGGATTGTGCCCGGGAAGGCATCTCAACCCCTGGGATAGATCACCCTACCGGTGTAGTTCGGCACCACCAAGCGCTTTCGCACCGACTACGTTAACATCCTGGTTGCCAACTTCAACACAGCGTACCACGCCATCCTCGGCCAACCAGCTCTCACCAAGTTCATGGCTATGCCACACTACACGTACCTAGTACTGAAGATGCCGATGGAGCAAGGGATCCTCTCCCTGCGGGCCAACCTCAATGTCGCCTACGCTTGTGAGAAGGAAAGTTGTATGCCAACTGAGGCTACCGACATCTCCATCTGCATGTAGGACTGTGTCGCTACCTTGCAACAGATATCACCGGAGGACCTGGAGATCCCCACGATGGAGGCCGCTCGAGCATCAACCAGGTCTAAGGAGGTTGTTGACGGTTGTTAATGTCAATCATAAACCATTAATATATCCTACATATACACTTAATTCCATTACCAAACATAGGTATAGGCTAACTTTTCCATAGTTGATACAACCCTGCTCTTCTTCTTCCCATGCTCCCATTGCTCTAACACGCTGGTTTGCAATCCCTCTACTCAATATTGCTTTGTTTCTATAAGTTTGAATATTGTTTACAAATTTCATACATGAAAATCAAACTTAAGATGTAAAGTAAAATCAAACTTTAAGCTTTTGTGACAATTAAGGCACATTATTTAAAAATATGGGACAAATGTTCTATGCTAATTAAAATGTATTCTATCATAGCATAGAAGATGACCTTTAGCTCTATGACAACACTATCCTTGTTTGGAATTATTTGTACATCCCTTTGGGTATGTGTTGTCCACTAATCTGAAACAATGAATGGAGCAAAAGGTCCAAATAAAA